CACAGACACAGGCAGAGGGAGAAGCAGGCTCCATGCAGGGATCTCCAGGATCAGGTCCTGGACTGAAGGCGGCGCTAAACCATTGAGCCACCTGGGCTGCCCAAGAAATCTTTAAAAAAAAAAAACAAAAAAAAAAAAAACAAAGAAACAAAGATCAGTAAGACAAGAATTACTGCCCTAATACAGCTTTGGGGGGGGGGGGGGAGATAAGGCTCTCAGCATGACCCATTTTAAAAACAAATTACAAATATCAATGCAAACACTCTTTGAGCATTGTTTCAATTACATTGGACTCATTAGGGCTAGTGTTTGGAGGTTTAAAATTAGTGTCCATAGATTAAAAGATTGTTAAAGGTGTTTGAGTGTCTACCTGGGAGCGTGTGTCCGTGTGTGTGAGAGAGACTGTATTTTAGACATACAGATAGGTCCAGCTACTTCTGTACTTTCATGGTTTCTTAACTTTTTAAAAACCTGTTTTAAACTGCCAGTTATGCTTGCCCATTATTGTTCTCCTCTTAGAGCCTGAGACAGCTCTTCCAGAGTGGCTTTCATTTTAGTGTGTAAACACTTCCTGAACATCTTAATGTGTCATCAACTGTGAAAGTGTGGCAGGAACCAAGTTGAATTGGTCAACGACCCTGTTCTTGACAAGCTCCCAGCCTGGGTGGGGGTGATTTATAAATAGCAAGTGCCCAGGAAGTGCTGCAGGCTTGCCTGGCCCCGGGTGCCTTAGGAGTACCCCCTCCTCTCTTTATGCAGTATTCTCCTTGGGCCTTTGTGCTTTAGCACCTGTGCTATAATCTGCTAAGGAAAGTACCCTTATAGCAAAATTTGACTTGAATTATGACAATCTCATTTGGAACTCTTACTCCCTGGAGATTAGGACTGTTTATGTAAGTGACAATTACTAGATATTTTATATCCATTAACACATGAGGGATGTGGGAGTATGCTTAATAGATGAAACTAAAGCTCAAAAAGTGAAGTAACTTCCCCAGGGTTGTGTGTTTAGGTGATCAGGAGAACCAGGATTGAGACCTGTTCTGATTCCAAAGCCCGACCAGCATGCTGGCCCTGGATCTGTGCCCCATCAGGGCACTTGTTGATGCCTTCAGGGTATTGAGTATCCTACGTAAGAACTGACTGGGGGGGGGGGGGGGGGCAGCGCCGGTGGCGCAGTGGTTTAGCGCCACCTACAGCCCAGGGTGTGATCCTGGAGACCTGGGATCAAGTCCGCCATCAGGCTCCCTGCGTGGAGCCTGCTTCTCCCTCTGCCTGTGTCTCTGCCCCTCTCTCTCTCTCTCTGTGTGTGTGTGTGTGTCTCTCATGAATAAATAAATAAAATCTTAAAAAGAAAAAAAGAACTGACTTGGGGCACCCAGGTGGTTCAGTGGTTGACACCTACCTTCCGCCTGGGGTGTGATCCCGGGGTCCCAGGATCGAGTCCCGCATCGGGGTCCTTGCAGGGAGCCTGCTTCTCCCTCTGCCTGTGTCTCTGCCTCTCTGTGTCTCTCATGAATAAATACATAAAATCTTAAAAAACAGAAAAAAAATGTCTAAATTGCCTACAAGAAATAAATGATGAGGTACAGAACCAGTACTGCCTTTCCTCTTCCCCTTTCTGGCATCTGACCTTAGATTTGCTTTTTGTTTCTAGGTGTACAGTCAACACGTGGCACTGTGCAGAATGGAGGGACTCCCGTACCCCACCATGTCAGAGACCATGGCAGTGTGTTCTAACCTGGGCTCTTGCCACCTCCTCCTTGTGGAGCCCAGCAGGAACGACCTGCTTCTTCGTGTGCGGCTCAACGTCAGCCAGGATGATGTGCTATACGCACTGAAGGAGTGAAGGGCTTCACAAGGAAGGACTGTGACCAGCTCTTTGCAAAGAGCTTGATTTCCGCTTTCTAAGCACATGGGATTGTTGTAGCAAAGTATACTGCATGGAAATGGCTGTCATGACTTTTGAAATTTTCCATTAAATAATTTGCTTTTTTTAGAGTGTTTGAGAAGTCCAGTTATTACAAACACCAGATTATAAAAACCAAACCATCCTTCTGACAGTAGGCCCTTCTTGTGACTCTTCTGTTAGCCCTGCCACTTATTTAATGGCAACATGGTATGCAAAAAATTATGTGTAGCTATATTAAATAGTGGTGGGAGAATGTGTAAGAAATTGGTTACATTGCCTCTTGGAAGGAACTAGATGGCTATGGTCAGGCTTTAGAGGAAGATTTACTGTAAGTCAATGAACAATGTGAATATAACAAAGTTTATAAAAGAGAACTACTACTTGGGGTGCCTGGGTGTGCAGGCGGTTAAGCATCCAACTCTTGGTTTCAGCTCAGGTCATGGTCTCAGGGTCATGAGATCAAATCCTACGTCAGGCTCTGTGCTTAGCATGGAGTCTGCTTAAGTCTCTCCCTCTGCCCCCACCACCCCTCCCATGCTCTCTCTCAAATAAATAAACCTTAAAAAAAAAAGCCTGCTAGAAATATAGCATATATTTCTATATATATATATAAATATATATAGAAATATATTTTAAAATATAATTTTTTGAAAATTACTATTTATCAAAAAAATCTTTAAAAAGACTTAGAAGGCACAGAAAATATACTGAGAAATAAATAAAGAGATATAGTCTCTAAATACAAATCTATTCCAGTCAAAATCTTGGCAGGGTTTTTGTGTAACTTTGCAATTCTCATTTACATTTCCAACCAACAATGGAACTGACATCTAAAGTCTTCTGTCGGGCACTAAGGAAAAACACAGCACCTGTGAATAGTCCTTCCAGAATGTTTGACCAAATCTGATAAAGAAAGTTATCAGAGAAATCAAAATTGAGGGGAAGATATGCAAAGCAACTGTTCCTCTTCAAAAATATCAGTATCGGGACACCTGGGTGGCTCAGTGGTTAAGCACCTGCCTTCAGCCCAGGGTGTGATCTGGATTCCCAGGATTGAGTCCCATGTCGGGCCTCCCTGCATGGAGCCTGCTTCTCCCTCTGCCTGTGTCTCTGCCTCTCTCTTTCTCTGTGTCTCTCAATAAATAAATTAAAAAACAACAACAACAAAAAACGCCTAAATAGCTAAATGCACCATGTGAACCTTGATTGGGTTGTGGACGCGAACAATTATAAACATTAGGGAATATATATTATGTAAGTTTGAGGTAAATGTCAAACTTTGTGAATGGCAAGTTTTTGCCGTTCTATAGAATGTCCTTATTGAATTATTTATGGGTGAAAGAACATCTGCAAATAGTTCTCAAAAATTCAGAAAAAAAGTACATATATGCATATATGTTTATAATTGGATTTAATAGAGGATCAGTATCAGAGCAAAAAATTACACAATAAAAAAGAAAAATGAGTAAATAAGTCATCTACACAATAAGACACATGAATGACTAACAAAATGGAAGCCTAGTAAATGAGGCCTGCAAGTCAAAACTCTTTCACACATACATTAGAAAACCTTTCCATGACCATAGGAAACAACTAGAACCCAAATGCCCCACTGATGGGAATGTAAACTGGCACTGTTTTGGAGCTGATTTGGTAATATTTAATCTGGAAAATGCAGGAACCCTCCGAGTCAGCAATCCCACCTCTAGGTATATACCCTAGAGAAACACGCTGGACCCCAGGGTTTGTGTACAAGAATGTTTACGGCACGGTAATGGCAAGCAATTGGGAAAGAATCATTTTCATACTATGAAATACTATAGAGATGAAAAATAACCAGATACAGTATTATTGATGTGGATGAAGCTTACAAATAGAGCAGAAAAAGGGGTTGAAGAATGTATGTAGTGAGACCAATGACACGATGTTGACGCTCGCTCGCAAACAAACGCTATAGACGGCTTCCAGATCCCCACGTGCAGAGGAGGGCAAAGAATTCAGCCGAGTAAGTTTGTCTTTGGGAAAATGCTGCAACCTGAGAGGTGTACAGGTGGCTTCAACTGTATTGTGATTTTTTTTTTCTCTTAAATTTGTGGTAGGTACCCGTGTATTTAGGTCAGTTCCTAGAGAAAATAGGAGCTACTTATTGAGTAGCTACCTGCTTTAGACACTGGAGAGAACTCGGGGAACAGAAACCTCTGCCTTTGTGGAGCTTGCATTCAAACAAATATGAGATGTTGCATATGTCTGTGTATATTATTTCATTATAAGAGAAAACTTCTTTAATGAGAAGAGATGAGAATATGAGAGCGAAACTTCATTTTGAATGGTGAAATGACCTCTTTGGACAATGGCCCAAAAGCAGTAAGAAAACAGGCCCTTTGTCCAAGAAGACTGGAAGATTTTTGAAACCGCTAACTACAAATTGCAAATAATAATAATGTAAAAGTTTAGGATTCCGGCAGGAGCGCGGTGCTAGGTTTTGTTGCAGGCGAAGCTTCCCGTTAACGCCCCTCCACGCGACATCCCTGGGTCAGCAGGGCAGGGGAGCCGTCTCCGCGTCAAGCCGGAGTGACCTGGACGAGGTGCCTGGCCCTGCCGCTCTCACCTGGGCAACGCGCCTTCCGGCGAGAAAGGGGACGTGCAGTGCCTTACTGAGAAAGGGCAGCCCCTTCGCGTTTTTTGGGGACCCAGGTCTCGATCAAACCCCGACCGCGGGGGCGAAGCAGGAGCGTCCCGCCTCCGGGACGGAGCCTGCGGCAGCCCCGCCCCCACGCCGACGGGGCGGGGCGCGGGTGCGGGACAGCGCGGGCGCGGGGGGGGGGGTGCGGGGCGGGGTGGGGCGCGGGCGTCGCGCCGGAGGGGAGGGAGCTCGGCGGGGGAAGCGGCCAAGAGCCGCTGCGGGGACGCACCGGCCGCATGTGCGCGAGCAGCGGCGCACCCCAAACCTGCCCAACTACCGTCTGTCTCTCCGAGCGTCGCGCTACCTGCCCGAAGGCGCCTGCGCGCGGAAAACCTCACCGCTGGAGTCACCGGCTGGCACGTCACGCCCGCCCCGGCTTGCGCCTGCGTGGTGCGCGCCTCACGGGGCGTGGCGTCACGTGTCCGGGCGGGAGCCGCCTCCCGCAGGGTCGCTTCCTGTCGCGGCTGCCGCCGCCTCCCGGGGCCGCGGGAGCCCTGGGCTGTGCCGGGCGGGATTAGGACCGGGCTAGCGTCGGATCCGCGGCGAGGTACGCAGCGGGCCCGCCCCAGCGAGGGGTGCTGCGGGGCAGATGCGGGCGCGGGGGCGGGTCCCTCGGCTTCGCCTCCCGTGAGCGCTCCGCGGCCCTCGCGCCTCGGCCTGGGGACCTGACGTCCGTCTCTGCCCCGAGCCCGCTCGCCTCAGCGCCCCGAGGGCTGCCGTCACCCCGAGCGCCCGCGGCCGGTGAGCCTCGGAGCCCCGTGGGTTTCGCCCCTCGTCTCCATCGCGACGCCACTTCGCGGGGCCGTGGCGAGGTGCTCGGTCCTGGGCAGCCCGCCGGCCTCCGTGCTCCCTCCGCGGCCGCAGGGAGGATCCCGGATCGCCCGCCCCCGGGTGCTTCCCGGAGCCCCGAGGGCCCCGCCCGCGCCGTGCCGCGTCTCCCTGCACCCCAGGCCGCAGCTCCCTCGCGCGGGTTCCTCCCCCGGAACCCTTGTGGGGGTTCCCTCTGGGAGTCCATTCCCCGCCTTTCCTCCAACTTTTTCATGACTCAGCACAAGCATCACTTTCTCCAGAAGCTTTTGGGGGTGCGGGCCGGGGCCGCGGGGGCCGCTGGGGGGTGGCAGGCCGCGGGGCGCGCGTGTGTGGGTGACAGGCCGGGGCCGCGGGGGCGTGGGTTCCGTCACGTCGTGTCCTGTTGCGGTCGGGAGCCCGAGCGGGAATGCGGGTCGCTGCGGAGCTGAGCGGCCCGACGGGACTTGGTGTGGGGACGAGTGTCCAGGTTTGTGCCGCCAGTGGCGGCCACTGGTTGAGGCACTGGATTTCGAGCCGTAACGTAGCGGGAGCCGTTCTGAAGGCTCCAGCCTTGCGCGCAGCGGGTCCCTGAGTGGCCGACCGCGCCCCCGCGGTCCTCCTGGTGTCCCCCAAGCCGAGCAGGCGGGCCGGGGCCTCCCACCGCGGTGCCGCCGCGGGGCGGGGCAGGTGCGGGGCTGGGAGCTTGGCAGCCACACCCACGGCGGCGGCGCTGCTGGGGGCGGGCCCGGAGGCTCCTCCCGCCTGACGCGCTTTCCTTCCCCCTCAGACCGGCGTCCGCGCTGCCGAGATGCCTGGGCCGAGACCCCGGAAGGGCCCTCAGGCCAGTGGCCGGGGCGTGGCCGCTGCGAAGCAGGTATGGACGCAGCCCCCCTCGCGCCCCGGCCGCCTGGGGTCTCCACGCGGCTCGGGCAAACCGGGTCACCTGCTTGACTCCCTCGCTGGTCCTGTGAGACGAGCGGCGCTCCCTGGAGGCGGCGGCGCGGTCAGGCCCCTCTGACTAGCGCCGACCAGCCGCGCCGGGAGAGGAGCCTAAACCCGGCTGCGTTTCCACCCAGGCGTCCTCCTGCCACGGTCACTCCATGAGTGAGCGGGCTCAGGAGCCACCAAATTTGGGGTGTTCTGATGGGGTGTCATCACTGTCATAGGTTTCTCATTTAGGGCCACGATTTTGCTTGCCAGCCAAGGATGCCAGGGCTTGAGGACTGTGGCCATTGGAAGAGCTTTGCTGCTTAGAGACACAGGGCTCTGGCCCAGGTGGGAGACTGAAAAGTGTATCCTCTAATCTCCCTTTATTTCTTCTGGGCCCAAGTCCTGAAACTTCTTAGTCCATTTTTATTGTCTTAAAAGAAGTGGGTAAGGGAGGGTGTGGAATGGAGAGCATAGACTGAAGTCAAGCCCTTTACTTTAGATGCTAGCTCTGCCACTTAAGGCTGTTTCAGTTTCACCTGAGCATGGTGATGGAAATAGGGCTACCTTTTCCTAGGGCCGTCGGATTCATGGAGACAGAGAGTAGGATGGTGGTTGATGGGGTAGGGGAGGGAAAGGGGAATTGTTGAGTAAGATGAGAAGAGTTCTGGTGGTAGTGGTGGTGGTAGCACAGTAGTGTGAATGTACTTAATGCCACCAAACTGGACGCCTAAAAATGGTTACGGTGAGGGGCACCTGGCTGGCTCAGTTGGTACAGCATGCAACTCTTGATCTCAGGGCCCTGAGTTCAAGCCCCATATTGGACGTAGAGCTTACCTTAAAAAAATGATTAAGATAATTTTTCTGTTTCATTTGTTTTTTTCAAAGATTTTATTTATTAATTTGAGAGAGAGCACAAGTGGGGTGGGGACTACAGAGGGATAGGGAGAAGCAGGCTCCCTGCTCAGGGATGCAGGGCTCAATCCTAGGGCCCCAAGATCATGACCTGAGCCAAAGGCAGATGCTTAACTGACTGAGCCACCCAGGCACCCCTTGTTATGTTTTGTTTTAAAGTTTATTTATTTATTTTTAAAGATTTTATTTATTTATTCATGATAGACACAGAGAGAGAGAGAAAGGCAGAGATACAGGCAGAGGGAGAAGCAGGCTTCATGCAGGGAGTCTGATGCAGGACTCGGTCCCGGGACTCTGGGATCAGGCACTGAGCTGAAGGCAGATGGTCAACTGCTGAGCCACCCAGGCATCCCTAAAGTTTATTTATTTTTAAGTAATCTCTACACCCAGGATGGGGCCAAGATCAAGAGTCCCAAACTCTTTCAACTGAGCCAGCCAGGCACCCTGTTACATGTGTTTTACCACAATTTAAAAAAAAAAACAAAACAGGGCCTAAGTCTCAGGATTTGAGAATTAAAAATCATGTAGAATGCTAAGTGCAGTGCCTGACAGCTAGTGCTGTTACGCTGTAATAATAATGGCAATGTAGTCTTACTGGGTTCTTTATACTCACTAGGGAGATAATTGCCCCAAAGGCTAATGTTGCAGGCCTCAGTTTCCCTGTCTGCACATTGTGCCTCACACATAATGAAGGAGCCTCGGACTGCCTGAGACTGGCTCTAGGACTGGTCCTCATTGTGTGGTTCCTAAGAACCCTTCTCTGCTCTCAGCTGGGGCTCTTTGTGGAGTTTAGCCCTGAGGACATGATGCTGGGAATGGAGGAGACTGAAGATGATGGAGACCTGGAGGCTGAACTGCTGGCCCTCACCGGGGAAGCAGGGGCCACAGGCAGGAAGCCAGCCCCCAAGGGGCAGGGTGAGTTTGTGGCATTGGGCGGGCTTGTTGCTGGGACCAGATGGGTTCAGGTGGGTGGTAGAGACGGTTGTCTCCTCTCAGCTGGGAGGAGCCAGTTGGATCACCAGGTCCTTGATACCCTGTCTTCTGCAGTACTCCCACCAGGAGGCTGTCTCGTCCTGCTCATACACCTGTGTGATGGGAAGCTCACTCCTCCTCTGATGGCCCCTCTCCCCATTATGGACAATGGTCCTAATGAGTCTCAGACTGACTCACTTCTCTATCTTAGCCCTAGCTAGGGCCCAGTAGAGCGGAGGGGCTCGGGCTTAGCACAGGTTGCATTGAGCACGTAAGTACACAGACGCTATTGAGTAAGTGCAGTCTCCCTCCCCAGCCTGGAAGAGGGCAGAGACCTGAAGCCTGGGAGCATCTGAGGGTCTAAATCTTTCTTTTAGAGAGAACCATCCCTCATCCCATGTGCCCCTGAGATGAGGACAGTGGGAGGACCTGGGAAGGGAGTCACTGGTCTGGGAGACCCATGGCCCTTACATCTCTCGGTCCAAACCGGCTTTGCAGTTAGATGAGCCTGGGTTTGCATCTTGGTTACTAAGATTGCAATGTGAGGAAACTTAACCTTGGTATTATCAGCTCACGTGTGTAAAATGGGGGTGACACCTACCTTGTAAAAGTATCGTAAAGCTTCCCTGGACGTTAAAAGTCTATACATATGGGAAACGAGGCTTTGGGGAATAGATGGGCATGTCTGTGAATACCTATGACAAAAATGCCAAGAAGGGAGCATTCCCAGGAAGCTTTCCTAGCTGAGGGTCTTTTCAGCTGGGTCATGAAGAGCAAGGGTTTTCCAGGTGGGACTTTGGCTGTGGAAGGGAAAGAGGATTTCTCCCTGGATGTGTCTTGTTGGCACAGGGGACCAAAGACCCTCCTCACGGACCTTTGATTGCCCTCACCGTCTGTGACCTTCTTCCCTCAGCCCCCCTGCCTATGGCTCACATCGAGAAGTTGGCTGCAGACTGCATGCGGGATGTGGAGGAGGAGGAAGGGCTGGAGGAGGAAGGGCTGGAGGAGGATGCAGACTTGCTGGTGCGTCTGCCATGCTGGTGTGGGGGGAGAGGGGGGGCTCTGTGATCAAGCCTGAGGAAGAGGCCTGGGCTTTGTCTCGTGTGTGCTCTGAGGTTGAGTGAGTGCTTTGCCCAAGAAGGGCCCATTTTTCTAACCACGATGTGAGGTCTCTTTTGACATGTGGTCTGAGCTGTGCATTTGGGAATTTTCAGATTTGGAGTCTTCACTGTTTTTAAGGCTTTTAAGGTCAGATTAAAGGAGTGTTTTGGTAAAGAGGACTTTGAGGCACAGTGATTGATGCTGGCGATGCTGCTGGGGGTGGGGGGCTTTATTTTCGTACCCTGTCATGGGTATGATGCTGAGGTTCCCAAGCTCCTGAGACTTGTCTCTTTCCAGACTGAGCTGCAGGAGGTCCTGGGTGTGGATGAGGAGGCTGGGCCCCAGGATGGTGATGAGACAGCTAGCCCAGGAGGCTCTGAAGAGAAGAAGGGACAGGAAGACACCGAAGCCCCAGGGCAGACAGCTCTACTGACAGCTTCAGTCCCAGCAGCTCAGGTAGGTTCTGGAGGGATCCTGTGCACCTCTAATGCCCTGAAAGTGTCTGTGGAGAACATGCGTGTAGCATGGCTTGCTTAGGAAGGCTGCAGTAGCCCTTCCGTGCTCCTCCACAGCTGCCCCAAGCAGACAGAGCCTGAGAAGCTGCTTGCGGCTGGCCAGCCTCAAAGGCCTCTCTGTTCTCCCAGACCACCCCCTGCAGCCATTTCCTGACCTCCACAGATTGTTTAGGCCTCTGTGTTTCCCTCTGACATGGCATCTGGCCTCTCCAATGAGTCTTTGCCTCCCACCTTGAGACTTTTAGGCTCTTCCTTCTCCTTGAACCCAAGAGCTCCATTTTCTGGGGCAGCTTCCTTGCAGGGAGGGAGCAGCAAGGGCCTAACTGGCCCTGGAGTGGCCATGCCCTGAACTGAAGTATCTACAGGCTGGAGGGCCTCAGGGGCTGCAGGCTCTGCTGGAGGATCGGATCCACAACTACCGGGAGGCTGCAGCCAGTGCCAAGGAGGCAGGTGAAGCAGCCAAAGCCAGGCGCTGTGAGCGTGGCCTGAAGGTGGGTTGGGCCTGGCCAAGGAACAGCGCTGGGAGGAGTGGGGCTGAGGGCAGTGGGTAAGGCTTCCCCTTGTGGAGGTGAAAGATTCCTGGCCCATCTTCAGGCAGGGTTCAGGCTGAGATGACTCGCTGGGCTTCTGGTTCTCTCTTTCAGACTCTGGAGGCTCAGCTGGCTGCTGTGAGGAAAGGCAAGAAGATCAGTGAGGATGAGATTCCACCTCCAGTGGCCGTGGGCAAGAGACGGCCGGCCCCCCAGGAAGCTGCTGACAGGAACCCTGAGGCAGAGGCAGATGCCCCAGCTCCCTTCACCAAGGAGCCAGGTACCTGGAGGCATTCCAAGTCCTGTCCTAGTCTCTAAGCTCAGAGCCTGCCTCCCTATCCCACCCTGCCCATTGTCATCAGTTGCACCTTCCCTGAAAGGTCCTTGGGCCAACTGGACCTGTAGGCACTGGGACCCAAAGGGTGCGCCTTCTTCGTTGATCCTCTTGCCACTTCTGCAGGCTTTTTGTTTCTTAATAGACAAGCCCTCTCAGCCGGAGACAAGCCTCTCGGGTAGTCCTGGCATCTCTGCCCCGCCTGATTCAGACCCAGACCCACGGGCCCTGCTGTCAGCTCGACAGAGAGAGTACAAGTTGGCTGCCCTGAATGCCAAGCGGGCTGGAGACCTAGACGGTGCCCGAGAACTCATGAGGATTGGGAAGGTATGGCATCTGACTCGGAGGCCCTGTGTCCAACCCCTTGTTTCACAGATGGGGGCAGTGACCTGCATGGTCATGCATGTAGACTGGGCCTGAGGAAGATGGGTCTGAGGGGGGAGTTTTTTAGCACAAGAGTTCCCTGGCTGATGCTCACACCTGCTTCTCCTACTGTAGAGATTTGGTGCAGTCCTGGAGGCCCTGGGGAAGGGGCAGCCTGTGGACCTGAGTGCCATGCCTCCGGCACCTAAGGGTCAGTATGGGGACAGTGGGTTGGGGCCGGCTCAGGCTGACATCAGGGAGTTTCGGGGCCAGGACTCACCAGGCACCTCCACTTCCACCTCTCCTCTGGGTCCCCAGATCTGAAGGCCCTTCCACAGGCTTCCAAGGCTGTCACAGCACCCTCAGTTGTACCCCTAGCCCTGGAGCGAGTGCAGCCAGTGACGGGCTCTGACACTCCAGCAGTTCCAGGTAGGACGGGATGGTGGAACTGTGGGCTGGGGCCCTGGGGAGAGGCAGCAGACTGATGCCATCTCTTTTCTCCTTTCAAGTGGTTGCTGCTGAGCCACCGACGGTGCTGGATGCCCTGCAGCAGAGACTAAACAAGTATCGGGAGGCAGGCATCCAGGCCCGGGGCAGTGGGGATGAGCGCAAGGCGCGGATGCACGAGCGCATAGCCAAGGTGGGCCCACAGCTGCACGACCTCTCTGTGGCTGTGGTGGGCCTCGCTCTTCGGGTCTCTGTCTGTCTGTCTCTGTCTCGGGAGTTCCTGCTGCCTCAGGGGCTCGCTTGCCTTCTGGGTCTCCCTCTCCCTGCGCGGAGTCTACATGCCGCGGTCCCCGCAAGTCCCCCCTTCCCTTGCAGCAATATCAGGATGCCATCCGGGCACACCGGGCAGGACGGAGAGTGGACTTTGCTGAGTTGCCTGTTCCGCCAGGTGAGCGGGCTCGGCGTGGGGGCCTTATACGGAGGTCTGGGAGCAAGATAGGTGGGGAGGGGAAGTGCTTGCTCACGTGTCTGCCTCTAGCCATGGCTCACAGCCGCCTCGTGCTTCTCCGAGGCTCCCCTGCCCCTCTCCTAGCCATCTGTCTTCCACAGGATTCCCCCCCATTCCTGGCCTGGCGCCCGCTGTGGGCACCGAGGAAGATGCGGTGGCAGCTACTTTAGCTGCTGCCCAGAAGCTGGCTTCCTCGGAGGATCCAGTCCCAGCAGAGGAGGAGGAGGATGAGGTTTGGCTCAGGCCCAAGGCTCCAGGGGTTGGCTGGGGGGAGTAGCGGACGAGGGCTAAGCCCACTCCCTGTCGTCGTCCATACTAACAAGCTCAGTGAGGTATGCTTTCTTCGGTTTCACAGAGAAAAAACTTGGCCAAGTGCACCCAGCCAGGAGTTAGCAGAGCTAGAGTTGGGCCAGCGTCTTTCTGACTCCAGGGCCCAGCTTCAGTCCCCGTTACCCTGCTTTCCTACTGGGAAGGTTTTGAGGCAGCTTCCAGCTCTGAGGTTCTCTAGGGCCCGTGACGGGAGAGCCACTCACGTCTGGTTACATGGCAAGCTAGTGCAGCGTTAGGAAGGAAGCGCAGGTCTGGGAGCTGCCGCAGCCCGGGTGGGAAACAGACCCCCATGACACGTTCCCGGGCACCTGCAGGATGAGCCCCCAGCCCAGGCCCCAGTGGCCAAGAAGCCAGCGAAGCCTGCGGTCCCTTCATTTCGGGCCTTGCCTGATCCCAAAGCCTCGAGTTCTAAGGAGTCGCTGAGTCCCTCTGGTGAGTTGGGGAGAAGGATGGATGAGCGAAGGCTCCAGGGAGGGACAGGCATGGCCCTAGCCATCGTCCCTCATCCTTCAGTGCGGGAGCAGCTGGCATTGCTGGAGGCGCGGAGACTGCAATACCAGCGGGCAGCCCTGCAGGCGAAGCGTGGCCAGGACCTGGAGCAAGCAAAGGCCCACCTACGGGTGGCCAAATGCCTGGAGGCTCAGATCACGCAGGTACGAGCTGGCCGACCTGTGGACCTCTCCAAGGTGAGTCTCACCTCGGTGAGCAGCAGGACTTCTCAGGCAGGGGAGGCGCTGGCTGGCTTGACGGGCGGGGCCGGGAACGAAGCAGCCGCTTGGTGGCAGGCAAGGTGCAGATAGAATGCGGGGACACCTGGGAAAGAGCTGTTGCTTATGTTGCTCTGCCCTGTGGTCCCAGAGGAGGCCAGAGGGGCTAGCTGGGGTCAGAGGTGACAAGGCAGGGCAAGGCGAGGGGGAAGCAGAGCGTGGTGGCGGCCTGGGGTAGAGTGGGAGGTAGTGAGTTCCCATCACTGGAGGTTAGTGGGAACTGGAGAAACAGTGTGGATTCGGTATTTGTTATGCTCAATAGAGGAATAATCTGACTCTTGGGGCCCCTGAGGGGCCTTGTGACCTGGGCAGGTGCCTTCACCCTTGACGGATGAGGAGGGCGACTTCATCCTCATTCACCACGAGGACCTGCGGCTCTCCCAGAAGACTGAGGAGGTGTATGCCCAGCTACAAAAAATGCTTCTGGAGCAACATGAGGTCAGTTGTCGTTTCTCTTCCTCTTTCAGGGCCTGCGGCCCCCTTCAGGGAAAGGTGTGGGGCTCAGGTCAGATGGGCCTGGATTCAAATTCTGGCTCTTTTACTTACTGGTTGTGTGACCAAGGGGAACGTACTTTGAAGATGGGAGCGAGAAAGGAGTACTAAGGGAGGCGGGTGTATCTGTGTGTCTGAGTGTGTGTCCATCGTAAATCAGCCTCTGAAATGCTGTTTCTATTAGGTTTTGAACAGGAGCTCACTAAGTGAATTTGGGGGAATGGCTATCCTCAGGAAAGAAAACAGCAAAAAGTTAGAAAAGTGTGATGGGACTTGGGAACAGTGGCCTTGGGGTATGTGTTAGGGGAAGGGGGGTGAGGCTACATACAGAGGAACGGCGGGGCTCAGGCCTCGAATGCTAAACTAAGCAGTCTTGCTACGGGCTCTGGTGTCACTCTGGGCGCTTATCTGCAGAAATGTGTGCTGTTCTCCAAGCAGTTCATGCACCAGGGCAACGTGGCCGAGACCACCAGGTGAGCAGTGGGCCCAGGGCTACGGCTTATTGGGTGGGGGAGATGAGCCCTGCCGTGCTGACGTGCCCACCTATCCCTGTCAGGTTTGAGAATCTTGCTCAGGACCGCAAGAAGCAGCTGGAGATCCTGCAGCTGGCCCAGGCCCAGGGCCTTGACCCTCCCAGCCATCATTTTGAGTTGAAGACATTCCAGATTGTGAGGTGCCAAGGCTTAAGGGAAACGGGTTCCATGCAAGGATAGGACAAGAGACTGGAGACATAGGCCTTTTTAGTGAGGCATCCGGGGCTGGCTGTGCCATAGGCACTGGCGCTGGGAAGGAGTGGGCCGTGGATGCCTGCCCATGAGAAGCTCAGAGCTGCGGTGATGGCGGTGGGAACTCGGGACTGGAGGTCATGGAGGTCTGAGGTGTGCGTACCAGCCCTGCCACTGCTCGCCCAGGCCAGGTTTGCTTCCCTGGGCCTGCTCTCCTGACCACCTTCCAGCAAGGCAGCCAGGCAGGCACGGGACAAGGGGACCTTCCCTACTGCTCTTTGTCACAGCTCTTTGTCCTTGCTTCTTGGCTGTAGGATCTTCTCAGAACTCAACAGCACGGAAATGCATCTGATCATCGTCCGGGGAATGAACCTCCCAGCTCCTTCAGGTAGCTCCAGGGCCACCTCTGCACTGGGCGCTTGCCCAGACCCCTCAGCCCCGGCTACTCCTTCTGATCCCGATTCCCCTTTCTCCATCATAGGGGTGACTCCTGATGACTTGGATGCTTTTGTGCGGTTTGAGTTCCACTACCCTAACTCGGTGAGGTTCAGGTAGAGGGAGGATCCCCTGAGCCCCATCTTCCACTCTAGGACCCTGTGCCCAGTTTCTCTGCATTCCCTGGGACGTCTGGCTACTGGGAAGGGTTTGAAGACGGGGTTGGGGGGCAGGCACTTCCCTCAACACTCAGCCTAGAGGTTTCGCCCTATACACCTCTTTTTCAAGCTGTCCTGACTTCTTCCATCTTCCTGCTTTAGGAGCAGGCTCAAAAAAGCAAAACAGCTGTAGTGAAGAACACAAACTCTCCAGGTGAGGACTGCTCTCTCCTCCGACCCGCTCTCTCCTCTGTGTGTGCAGCACTTTTGTTTTCAGAGTGTTTTCAGTTTATTATCCTAAGTTGGTTTACTCAAGAGGTAATACATTTGGGGAAAGTGAGGCTCAGAGAGGTAGAGGGACCTGCCTAGGGCTCCATAGCAAGGAGGCAATGGAGATGGGACTTGAATCCAAATCCTTTCCGTTTTGGTATAATCTGTATCTAACAAGAGCACAAAAATTGTGTGGACTTCCAAGCCAGGGCCTAGAAGCTCCACCACTGTCTAGTAGGTGTCACTCCGAATTGTAGGCAGAGAGGGAAATCCAGCCGTGAGCCCATGCCACTTTTTGTCTTTTCCCATTCTTGCAGAATTTGATCAGCTCTTCAAACTAAACATCAACCGAAACCACCGGGGCTTCAGGAGGGTGATCCAAAGCAAAGGGATCAAGTTTGAAATCTTCCACAAAGGGTGAGGCCCTGATTAGGCCACTGCCAGGATGGGCCTGGGGCGGGGGTGGGGGGGTGGGGGGGTTGGGGAGCAGAGCAGCTTCTGTTGCTGCCCCTACTCTGTTTTCCTGCACGAGCCCAGGGCTCCCACCGGCCTTCCCGGTCCAACAGTCGGCTGATTCTTGGTTCCTCAGGTCCTTCTTCAGAAGCGACAAGCTGGTTGGCACAGCTCACCTGAAGCTGGAGCGGCTAGAGAACGAATGTGAGATCAGAGAGATTGTGGAGGTAGGATGAGCAAACCCAAGGACCTGCAAGTAAGAACCAACATTCACGGACGTCAGTCCCTACTGTAGGTTTCTTTGTGCCCGTTCGTTTTGAGGCATCGTAAATGTGCCGTAGACCAGGTGCTTTCCCATTCCACGTATGAGCCTGACAGGGTCCGAGACAGCGTGCTAGCGTCACTGGACAGGAAGCTGTGATGCTCTGCAGAACATGCCCCGCTACGTCCCCGGGGATGGTGGACTAGAGGGCCCCCTGAGGGTCTGACGACTGCCGTCCTACGTTTTGGGGGGGGCCGGGTTGTGGTCGGCGCAGCTGTCTAGTAGCACAGTGGAGCGGAACCAGCTCTGGACGTAAAGCTGAGCAGGTAGTTCCAGATTGGGGGCCCCCTCTAGTGTAGCTGGTCTGCGTTTAGGAATTGGCTCCAGAGAGCTTCTTGAACTTCTGTGAACTCCCTCAATTTCAGGGGCAGGGACTTGGAGACCTTGTGTGTGACAGGTGAGGACATGAAGGTCCAGTGAGAAGGGTGCCAGGTAGGCACCGAGATGGTGCCACTGGCGGGTCTTGGCCCACGTCCTTGCTGCTGCCTGTGTAGGCTGGGGCCTCTCCTTCCTTGGAGGAGGGCAGCAGGGCAGCGGCTGGATCGATGCTCTTGGCCTGTGTTCCGGTCCTTGCCCTGCCACGCTGGCTGTGCAGCCTTACTGTCCACTTCTCTCGGGGCCCCCTGTGAAGGAGGGCAGCTTAGGGCTTAGTGGCTTTCGGGTTGTGGTTTGAAGCGTGAGCATCTGTTCCGGGAGTGTTCATGGGAAGACTGGGCGGAGCCCTGGGGTCTCCTCTCCACCTTGGAGCACGGACACTTACTTGGATTTACGTCTTACTTAAGACTTAACCTAAAACCGCCAGAAGGCAGGACCGCAGGATTGTCCCGCCCGTGCGGACACTGCAGGACATGAGCTCCTTTCTTTTCTGACCCGTGAGCCGAGGAGCGCTCTGCTCCCAGCCCCGGGCCTCTCAGTTACCGTCTCCGTGGCCTTCACAGGTGCTGGATGGAAGGAAGCCCACCGGGGGCAAGCTGGAGGTGAAGGTGCGGCTGCGGGAGCCTCTGAGCGGACAGGATGTACAGACGGTCCTGGAGAACTGGCTGGTCCTGGAGCCCAGGGGCCTGTAAGGTGGGCAGCTGCCTGGGTCCCTGACCTCTGCCCTCCAGAGTGGTCTGGGTTCCTCTCCTGTGGGGGAGAAAACCTAGGACTCTCCCCTCTGTAAAGACAACCAAGGGGCAAAACTGTTGGGTAGGGCTGGGGCCGAGTTCCTTGGATTCTAGAACTGGAGGTCTTGAGTCTGACTGCAGGAAATCTTTTCTAAACTGTTGGCATGTGCAATACAGTTTAGACTCACGACACGTGCTCTGTGCCCTCGTGCAGGAGACGGCCCGCACTGGGAGAGGAAACGGGCGGCAGCTGCGTGCAGGAGTGTACTCTTCCCAGCTTTGTTGGCTACAGAAACCTTTGTATGTAAGGAAGATGCTGCTACGCGAGCACCAAAGATCTGGGGAGTATGTGTGTTACTGACCACAGCCCTGGTCCTCCACCGGAGCAGGCTGGATCCCGGAGCTCTCCCCTGCCGCCCCTGCCGCCAGGCCAGGGCACAGATGGCCTCCTAGCCTCGTTGCTCTGTGCCGGGGGTCTTCCAGCCCCTTAACCTTTGCGTAGCAACTGTGTGTAGCTTATCCTCACCCTGGATGCAACATTTCTGGATGTGCCTTTCAAAGCTCTAACTGAGGGATGGGAGAACTTGAGGGTGACCGGGAAACCCCTGCCTGGGGCAGGGCCGGGTTCCGTGACTCCACTTGGTCAGTGCAGCCTGTCCCACACAACTCAGTTTACCCTAGCTGTGCCTGTGCCTGTGCCTTGGCTCCTGACTGCTGCTGCGCCAGCCTCCCTGCTTCCCGAAGCTGTCCTGGAGGAGGAAGTTACACCCAGGAAGGCGTGCTGGGAAGTAGGGGCGAGGCTGGGTCTCGGGTTTGGTCCGTGCATCTAAGACTAAATGACTGTTAACTGGAAGAAGAAAAACAAATAGAAAAAATAATAATAATATATATATATATGTAATTTTATGTAGCCGCTTTTATTTAAGAAACTAGGTCAAATTTATTATAGGGGTTTTACAACACTCTATATGCAGAGTAATTATCAAAGTCCTGAGTAAAAGCCCTGTTCCCTGTCACTTTTAAAAGCCAGAGTGGCAGTAACATTTGTTATTGACAGAAATTGCCACCATGGCTTTTGCTTTTGAGGGAGGGCAAGGGGAAGCCTTAGGTCTGCTGCTCCCCTAGACAAGTCCCTTGGTTCCTGCCCAGGAAATTCTCCTTTGGCTCTGTTTTTCTGAATGGATGGAGACAACGGAGGGAGTTAGAATAGATTTAGATTTAATAGCCAAAACCGCAATATGCTACATTTCTTAGAAATAAGCGTTAACATCTTTTTTTCCCCCTTTTTGAAGCATTAGGTTCAACAGAGCATTCCTCAAGATTTTTTAAAGGCTATGAGTGAAGCAGATGCATTCAGCTTCCCAGTCACCATGGGACTGCACAAGCACAGCTCAGGGATAGAACTTCTTCGTGTCTTTTTCCAGGATAGGGCTGGACCATGCTTCCTGCCCTTAAGAGCAGAGCGGTTCGTGATGAACAGAATGGGAATGACAAACGGCTTTTTTCCTAAAGTTTTCTAGCCAGTCTTCCTTACCTATCGGTGAATTACCAAAATTTCCACAGATGTGAGAGCTAGAACACTTGATTGCAGTCATATCTGTGTCAAGCAATAATCTAGAATGAGAAGGAGGTGGTTAGCTTTTAGAAGGTGGCCTAGAGCAAAGGGGGGGGGTGACTCGGGAGGGTTCCTGAGGGTGTGCACCCACCCTGGTGTTCCTCCAGCTGCGATTATCCTCAGAGGTTACAAACAGCCCTAGGAGGTTTTACGTTCGGGCTCCGCTAGGAATGAATGCCCTGTTCTGATTTGACAGTTTTGTGCCTCAGAGACGTCCTTTCACGACCTGTTCTGCTCCGGTACGCGTCATTCCCCTTTGCTTTTGGAAAACAACCTGCAGGCTGAGGAAGGTGAGACGAAGCCACCCACTGGACTTGGAAACTGAGATTGTTAAAAGGCCCTTGTAGCAGCCACGGCATGCAGGGGTCACTAGTGGGCAGTGCCTGCCCAGCCTCCTGGTCCTAAGATCTGTCCTCTTGCAGCAACCAGACATCAAGAGTTCTGGGACTCCTGAGCAGCTGGGAACCAGTCACAACCCAAATAACTTTACGTCATAAATTCTTTCTTCAGTCTAGTGCTAGATGTGCTTCCTTTAGAATTAGTGAACTGGATAAAATAAAAATTTTAAAATTTATCTTATTAAAGGGCAAAAGATTTTAGAACCTTAACATTATTTTCCTTTCTTATGGCACCACTGTGAAACCTTCATTGTTACTTCCAAATTCCGAGCAGGTTTCCTTAAGTATTCGTGGATGGCTCCTAAAAGATCTTGTCCCTTAAGAAAGCTCCTTTTAGGATGAAACTGTAGGGCTGAGACAGAGCCAGGGAACTTGCACCTGCTCCAGCTCCATCACAGATTTTTCCCTCCCAGGGCCTCAGCTTCCCAAGCTCTAAAATGGGCATGATCATGCCTGCTCTACTCCTTAGCCTTTCTAGCCATATATTCACTCCCTAAAATAGAAACCACACCAAAAACAGAAACAGTGTTCAGCAGATGCCCTGATGACTGAAACACATGAAGATGCATAAATTATTCCCCAGGGACTAGTTATGATAGAAGTAAATTCATTTGGAAATTTGGGGCCGGCCGGCGTTCAGGGACCACAGCGGATAGGGGAAGACACTAGATGGGAACTTCCACAAAGCAAAGTCCCACATTCCTGTGACCCTGGAGACCAGAAGGTACTCCGGGAGTGTTGATAAAAATACGTAGACAAACTACATTGCCTAACGTTTAGTAAGAATTCAATAATTAAAATTAGTAAGTTACCAAGATGGCAATTATTTTCTTCTTTATAAGGATCTCTGTACAATATTCTAAAAAATCTTCACTTATTTAGAAATGTGAGGTTTCAGCCCTCCACTTTGTATCGTTCTTCTACAACATATAGAAACATAAAACAAGGGAAAAAAGTAAACCAGCCCGGGTTACTTTATGCTCAGCTCCACAAGATGACTTTACTAAACAAAAGGTGTTTCATACAGTTGAGGAAAGGGTCCGACTATGCAGGGCGAGAGCGCGTCCTCAGCAGGACTCCGAAGCTTGCACTGGTCCCGAAGAAGCCGCGTTTGCGAGATGTACCGCCGAGGAAAGATCGACTGCGGGAAACCCGCCAGCTCCTGGGCGGCTCTCAAGTTCCGGGGCTGAGGCGGCCTGGGTGGCGCGCCCGCGACACACGTCGAAGTGTCACCCGTCTGGCAGCTGCGGTGGGGGGTGGTTCCAGAGCTCAGTCCTGACAAGTCGGCGCACTGTGGGGGCACCTTGGGGTCCACGGGAAAGTCCCGTCCACAGATGTCCGCGGCTGCAGCCGCAAAGCCCACGGGCACAGAATGCGGCGGCCCCGCCCCCCGGACGAGGGATCAGCCCAGCTGAGCGCGCAAGGCTAGAGCCCGCGGCCCGAGACGCCAGGCGCTAAGCCAACTTTAGCCGCCAGGGGGCAGCGCTCACCCCCAGGGGACTGCGTTAACTTCTAGGGGATTCTTGGAGTGGTGCTGCTCACGCAAAGGGCGGACTCCTGCTTGGCCGGGCTGCGAGTAGATGGCAGCGGCAAGGGAGCTGCCCTAGACCAGGATTTTTCAAACCGAGTTGTGAAACCCATTTGGTCCGTGACTAAAGAAGTTTTTAGCAAAGAGAACATGATCACATATCACGTGTATCAAGGGTCACCTAGATCTTGGCTTCTACCGCTCCCACGAAAAGACACTGGGGCGCATTCCAAAGCGCAGGCAGGGTAGATACTCCATGAACTGGGATGGTGACCTTCGGACAGAGAGGAAAATGGGAGGAGAGCCTCACAAGGATGTGGGCGCTGGCTTGAAGGGGCGCTCTGGCCAGAGCTGAGAGCACCTGAGCTCCGAAATAGAGAATTACAACTACTCCAATGTGATGTTAACAATGAAAAGTAATTAAATGCATGGATAGGAAAGAAGGAAGGGCTTCCGCTTACAGATGACCAAGCATAACTGCTAAAGTGCCAAGAATGCACAGACTTAGCATCAAACACAAAATGAGGCATTGTCGATTCAAAAATGGGGTGAAGAAACCTATACTCACCAAAAATACGGAGGACATAAAGGTGAGTCAGGACAGCTGCTTGCTCAGTCTGATGCTAGGCTGGAAGCTTTGGAGGAAAAAAATGCTCTGAAGGACATGACTGGACAGATGCCACATTCAAGGATCCTATTAATGTTAAACTGAAGTTGCAGTTATGAAGGAGAACGTCCTTATTTTTAAGATTTAAACATCATTTAGGGATAAAGGACGATGATGTATGCAACTTACTCTCAAATGCCTTAATTTTTTTATGGAGAGAGAAAAAGCTAAAGCAAATGAAGCAAAATGTTAGTATGTGAACAAGCGGTGAGTCTAGGTAAAGCGCACGTAGGTTTTGTATTTACAGCTCTCCCAGAGGTTCACGTTACTTTCTCAATACAGTGTTTCTTGAAAGTTGTCCAGCACAGACCTAGAGGCGTCTTGCGTGTACTCTCTCTTTCCCGGAAAGCCCCAGAGCCTGAGCGATCCTGAATGCGGCTCTGCTTCGAGGGACCGCACACTGAGCTGCCCTACCTCGGACCTTGGCCACAGGAGATGGCCCCTGGGGCTCTGGTTCACTGCTGCGAGTAAGCTGCTCAAAAACACCGAGGGGGAATTCCACTTGGAGTCACTGTGATGTAAGGGACAAAATCAGTGCGGGAGTCTCCTGTTTTATATCAATTCTGTACAAAGAGTGCAAGACCAATGCTTCTTTGTTTATTTCCCCTCTGCCCTCCCAACCCCGTTCTTGGCGATGGTTGTACCCATCTGAGCATTTCTGAGCACAACAGCATATGGAAATCTTGAGAGGAGAGCAGGATTTTTGTCTAAATGGTAACGGAAGGGGATTAGCGGCAAGGATAGCGTAACTTGTGCGGTAACAGAAGCTGCCTGGATCTTCTCGGTGGACAATGCATAGAAGACTCAGAATTACGGAACACCTGACCCCCGGCCACCCTCTCCCACCCCTGTCCCCAAGCCCCGCTCCCACCCACCCCCCATTTAATAGTGTTAACAAAAGCTTAATCTTCCAGTTCTAAAGTGCAAATGATTTGGGTATGACTGCTGTTGCAACAGGTCTGAACAGAAAACCAGTGAGGTCTTCTCCGTCTATGCGATGTTTTCCAGAATGTAAAAGATGAGCTCCATGACAACGGGGCCCTCGCTCAGCTGGCAGGCCCCTCCGTGGATCACCGGCACCAGGGCGCTGTCCAGGTCACTTGTGTACTGCGAGGGCAGGGGCTGCCCGTTACTCCCGGCCTGATAGCCAACCTGGCACACAAGAGAGGGGGACGTCACCGCCCAGGGAAGGCCAGGCGGCCGGGCTGCGGGGAGACTGCCACCGCGTGCCCTCCTTCCCTCCCCTCCCCCGTTGTCTGCTGCCCATCAGGACACATTCATCCCCACCGTGCTGCTGGGGCTGCGCAACCCCGAAGGCCTCAGGCTCCCAGGAAGGGGCGGCACCGAGAGCGCGGCGCGTGGGCAGCAACACCGAGGCCTTCGGGGCTGGACGTCAGGCACGAAATCCACAAGGCACGTTCACCCGAAAGGACCCAGGTGAATAGAAGGGGGGCCTGCCGAGAAGGTGTGCTCTGCGACTGCTCAGGCCGGTGACCCCCCAGCAGGTCATCAGTCACATTCGAGAAAGGGCCGAGGTCCCTCGTTCGTGTTACCCGATAGGCTCACTAGGGCTGCGCGGGTCAAGACCTTAAGTAGGAAACAAACACGCGGACTGATGACCAGCTGGAAGCAGAGCCCGGTCACGACCTCTCCCATCTTCCCTGACGGTGACAAAGCTCTGCACCAAAGCCTGAGAAGTGGGACACGTCCCAGGGACCTGCTAGATCAGAATACAGGGCGATGGGAGAGAGCCGCGGGGGCGAGGACCTGGGAGGGGGGGTGGGCTGTTCCTAGTCCGCAGCGCGACCAGTGTGGGGATGCTGGCGGCAGCAGAGCTGGTGAGGCCCCCGCAGCTGGGTTAGGGAAACGACAGGATGAGGACGGTGAGGGACATGCAGGCTGAGGGCAGCAGGTCGGTCCCTAAGGATGGGACGGGCAACGAGGAGTGCTGATGCCCTTCACATGGGGTGGCAGGTCCTCCCACACACCTCCGCTCCTTCCCCACCCTCACGACTAAGTCCTTGGACATACTCGGGTGAGGAAGCCAAGGTTCAAGCGATTCAGAGTCTCCCAAGCAGTGCATTTGGGAACGTTCCCGGCCGAAGACCCAGGGAACTCACTTGTCAGGAGATACAGGCGTCGCTAAGCCCAGCTTCCCAGGCTGCCTGACACTCTTCTTACCTGGTCGGAGTCTAGTGTCACACGGAGTCCTAGTTTAGTCATTCCGTCCTCCTTCAGGAGCTTGAGGTGGGGACAGAGTGCGAGGCAAAAGGCCTTGGCCACATGCTCAGTCAGTCGGCTATGATCCGCAGGGTCACTCAGGCAACTGTGCTGGTCGTCATTTTCTAGGAAAAATACCTGTTCCCCAAACAGAAGAGACTTTAGCCTCGTGCCCGGGAGATGTGGGGACAAAGAGCAAGTCCGTGAACTTACTGGTATGAGCGCCCTGATGCCCAAAGGCCTTAGGGAAGGCCTCCCATCTCCCTGGTCTCACCCATGCTCGTAAGGGCGTGTTCTCCTCAGAACCAGAAAAGGCTGGCATTTCGCACTGTGTTCTTCTAAAAGGTGATCCTTTTATGTGGCGACTCCTCTTAGGAAATGACCGTGGAGTCTGAGGGAACAGCTCTTACAGATTGTGACCCAACCCCAGCACCTCCCACATCTCTCCGAGAGGAGAAGCGACTTCAGGGCACAGAAGTAGAGGCAAGGCCACGCCAAGAAGCAGAGTCTCCTGCCTCTCAGGACAAGGCTTTCCTGCCGCACGGCCATGCCCACTGAGGCCGGGGCAGTGCGCGGAGCAGCACGGACAGAATCGGAGCAGCAGAGCTGAGACACGCAAGTCCTGGCCAGAGAAGAGGCTCAGGGCTTCCTAATGCGCGGTTATTCCTTCGTAAGGCAGCCCTGTCCCCAGTGACTATAAATGATGTAAAAGCATAACACAGAAGCCGGAGATGTGCAAACACCCAAGGCTCTTGCGCGCACTCCCCGCCCTGGGCCTGCCAAGCAGCCCACACA